TTATACTAGGAATGCCCAAAATCTAAAGCAGAGACAAATTACATTAATATGGTTGAAAACAAGGGTCCTGTACATATTCTTGAAGAGAGGGAATCTATCCTGCAGTAGATTATAAAAATTTAAGAGCATCCTTCTCCTTCTTTCCCACACACCAAAATATAATCAATCAATCAATCAATTAATCCAAACAGAGTCTGGGACTACGTTATAATGAAAATCAGTCTGGGAATATCTGAAAAGTATGAGACTATCAGTGTTACAGCCTAGGGAAGGTGGGGCTTCATTAGAACATACATGTAGATGAACAAACAGCTCCTGGCTGCCTGCAAGCATTTATAATTTATTCATTTAACATTCAGCAAGAGTAAAATTGTCCAAGATGACATATTTTCCATATAAAAAAAATCAACACCTGTCCTCAAAGATATATGAGTATGGCTATGGAGGATACAAAGAATAACACAGGTTGCTCTTCCTGAAGGCAGATCATTTAATTAAGGACGAAAAAATGCAGAGCTTACTTGATGCAAAAGGTTAACAACACAAAAACATAAATTAGGAGGTACTGCAAGGTAGCATATGACCAAATGCCAAATGAGAAGTAGTCTGGTTGCCAGGGGCTGGGGTTCTGTGGGAAAGCTTCAGAGGAAGTAGCATGGGAACTGAGTCTTTCTTTATACTACAATGATTATAGGATCTCCAGATGAAGAGATGGGAATATCCGAAGGCGCGGAGATGGTAATTAACAGGACATGAAAGGAAAGAATTAAGAATCACAACTTCAAGACAGAAAGTAAAACAAATGAGAGAAGCCTCTTAGATACAAAAATTATCCTCACTGAAGAATAACTGAGAAGGAATGAGAAAAAAAGTTCAGAAGCATTGTAGCTAAAACAGAAAATGACAAATGTGGACAGGAATTGCAAAGATTTACATACCACTTAAAAGGTAAGGATAACTGAAGAAGTGGAAAATTACGGCTGTTTCTCAAGAGAGGAAAAGGCAGCCAGTGGACTGTACTCAACACTGTTTCAAGATCCACTATCTCAGTCAGCAATAACTAATTATACAGTCAGGATCTCCTGAATCATAAAATGATGCAATTCCCTAATAAGGGGCATGGTGGAGATAATGGCAGGGACAATATGACACAGAGCAATCTCACGATCACTAGCTGTGATTCCTTGAGCGAGCCACTAAACTTACCTGAAGTGTTTTTTTTTTTTTTTAAGAAAGAGTCTCGCTCTGTCGCCAGACTGCAGTGCAGTAGTACGATCTCGGCTTACCGCAACCTCCACCTCCCAGGTTCAAGCGATCCTCCTGCCTCAGCCTCGCGAGTAGCTGGGACTACAGGTGCACGCAACCATGCCCAGCTAATTGCTGTATTTTTAGTAGAGACGGGGTTTCACCATGAGGTCATGAGGTCTTGATCTCTTGACCTCATGATCCGTCTGTCTGGGTCTCCCAAAGTGCTGGGATTACAGGTGTGAGCGACTGTGCCCAGCTACTTCCCTGAGGTGTAATATCCTCTTCTATTAATAAAAGGTCTGGGCTGGGCACGGTGGCTCATGCCTGTAACCCCAACACTTTGGGAGATTGAGACAGGTGGATCACCTGAGGTTGGGAGTTCAAGACCAGCTCCAGCTTGATCAACATGGAGAAACCCCGTGTCTACTAAAATTACAAAAAATTAGCCAGGTGTGGTGGCGCATGCCTGTAATCCCAGCTACTCGGGAGGCTGGGGTATGAGAATCGTTTGAACCAGGAGGTGGAGGTTGCAGTAAGCTGAGATCACGCTATTGAACTCCAGCCTGGGTGACAGAGCAACACTCCGTCTCCAAAAAAAACGAGAGCGAGAAATGAAGAGAAATACTATATACATGATTTAGAAAATTCAACATAGTAAAGCTATCAATTCTCCCTAAATTGATATAAACATTTAATGTAATTCCTCTCAAAATCCCAGCAAAATTATTTGTAAATATAGATAAGATGATTCTAAAACTTACACAAAAAGGCACAGAACTAGAGTACCTAAAAATCTGGGGGAGAGGGGAATCAAGTGGGAGAAATCAGTCTACCTTATTTCAGATGTACACAGCTACAGGAATCAAGACTGTGTGCTAATGGAGAACCCAGAAACAGACTGAAATAGACCCACACAAATATGCTCAACTGACTTTTGACAAAAGTGCATCAACAATTCAGTAATTGAAAGCAAGTCTATTCAACAAACGGTGCTGGAGCAACTGGACATCCATAGGCCAAAAAATGGCCCTCAACTTAAGTCTGACACCTAACAGAAAAATTAACTCAAAATGGGTCATAACATAAATATGAAATATAAACTATAAAACTTTTAGGAAAAAAATACGAGAAAATCTTTGGGATCTAAGGTTAGGCAAAGAGTTCTTAAACTTGACACCAAAAGCACAGTCCATAAAAGGAAAAAATGACAAATTTCAACAACATTTAAAAATTTTGCTTTGCAAAATACCCTATTAGAGGATGAAAAGATAAACTACAGACTGAGAGAAAACATTTGCAGATGACATATCTGAGAAAGGACTGGAATTTAGTATGCCTGAAAAACTTTAAACCCAACAGAAAAAAAAAAATCTAACTAGAAAATAGGCAACATGTTGGGAGGCTGAGATGGGACGATCACTTGAGCCCAGGAGTTTGAGACCAGCCAGGGCAACATGGCCACACCCCTGCCTCTACAAAAAATACAAAAATTAGCCGGGTGTGGTGGTGCACACCTATAGTCCTAGCTAGTTGGGGTGGCTGAGGCAGGAGGATCGCTTGAGCCCAGGAGGTCGAGGCTGAGGTTGAAGTGAGCCATGTTGGCACCACAGCACTCTAGCCTGGGTGACAATGTGAGAAATGCAAGTTAGGTGTCACCATACACCTATAAGAATGGCTAAATTAAAAATAGGGACAACACCAAATGCTGGTTAGGATGTGCAGAAACTGGACCTCTCCTACTCTTCTGGTGGGGATGGAAAATAATACAGCCATTCTGAGAAAGTTTGGCAGTTTCTTATAAAACTAAGCATGCAATTACCATATGACCCAACAATTGTATTCCTGGGCATCTATCCCAGAGAACTGAAGACTTATGCTTACATTATGAGTTACTGTACATGAATGTTTATAGCAGCTTTATTCCCAAGAGCCAAAAACTGAAAACAACCTAGATGTCCTTCAAACTGTGGCACAATCATACCATGGAATACGACGTCAGCAAACTACAGATACATGCAACAACCTGGATGAATCTCCAGAACTTTGCTGAGTAAAAAAAAATCCAACCTCAAAAGGTTACTAACTGGGTGATTCCATTATATAAGTCTTGGAATGACAAAACTATAGGAATAAAAACGAATCACTGATTGTCTGGGGTTAAGGAGGAGGCAGGGCAGGAAAGAAGTGAGTGTGGTTATAAAAAGGCACTATGGGATCCTCTTGGTCCTGGCAACATCCTTTATCTTCACCGTAGCAATCAATGACAATATCTTGGTTGTGATATCATACTCTGGGTTTGCCAGATATTACTGTGGAAAGCTGGGTAAAGGGTTCTCTCTATACTGCATTATTTCTTACAACTGCATACGAATCTAAAATTAATGCAAAATAAAGTTTAATTCGAAAATAAGTTAGTCTCAAAGCAAATTAAGTACAATTAAAAAGAAATCTAACATCAGCTAAATGAAGTGCTCTCTTCTGCTCAAGCGTGTCTGGATACACACTCTACGAATCAAAGAGTTTATAAAACACATTTTCCTCACCAGGACCCCTCAATTCTCCCTCACTCACACATGCACACAAACACAGCAACTGAGACAAGGGGGTCCAAACAGAAAATTTGAGATTTTTTAAAATACGCGATAGAATGAAAAGAGACCTGGGCTGAATCGGGGAGAAAAATCTTTGTCCAGGTTCTATAAAACAAACCAACGGTGTCACTTTGGACGGATCCTCTAATCTCTCAGCCTACAATCTGAACTCTTTCTACAATTTAAACTTCTCCTGTAGGAGGCTGCTCAGGAGAGTAGTTCTCAAACTTTTTGGTCTCCAGCCTCCAAAGGGCTTTTGTTTACATAGATTAAAACCACTAATGTTTACTATCAGAAATTAAAAGGGAGAATTTGTTTTTAAGAATACACAGAGCGGAGCTTGCAGTGAGCTGAGATCCAGCCACTGCACTCCAGCCTGGGCGACAGAGCGAGACTCCGTCTCAAAAAAAAAAAAAAAAAAAATACACAGACATCGGCCCTCCAAACGGTGGTATCATTCCATATCATGTAGCCTTTGGAAAACTCGATGTACAGGTCCTTGGTACTATTACGAAAATAGTTGTAACGACACTTCGAAAACCGCTGGCTTACTAGCAAGCGAAATAAATATACAAAAGTAACTGGAAAGGTTCAAAACAATGAACAAACGCGTTCTTTTAGAGTACAAAAGAGTCAAGGCGGGAAAAAAAAAAAACGGTTCGGAGGAAAACTTGGACGACCACACCATTGGGTAAAACGCGAAAGCTTTTGAAAAGCCAGGGAAGCCGGGCTTTCTCCCGGGGGCAGGGAGGCTGGGAAGTGCTCACGGCTGTAAAAGATGACCGCTATTCAACCAGTCCGCACAGCGCCCTCAACACCGTTACAGCCATGAGAGACCCACAATCACCGCTGTGGGTTTAACTTTTGGCAAAGACCGGGAAGTCGTTCAAGAAGAACTCCCCCACCGTCCCGACGCTGGCACCGCGCCCCGTGCCCCGCGAGCCGGGGTCCGGCCGCGCCCAGGCTCCGCAGAGGCTCCTGTCCCGCCCCAGGCGCCCGGCCGCCGCGGAAGCCGGGAAGGACTGGGCGGGCGGGGCCCGAGGGGGCGCGGGTCACAATCCCGGGCCGGACCAGGGGGCCGGCGGGCCGGGGTCGGGGTCCGGGAAGTCCCGCGGGGGCCGAGGAGCTCGGGGCTGGGGCCCCGGCGTCGGCGGCACTCACCAGGTGCCGCGCCACCTCGGAGGAGGCCATGGTCGCGGGGAGGGGCGCGGTGAAGCGGCTGTATCAGCCCAGCCCCGAGCGGCTGGTCCCGACAACGGCGGCGGGAAGGCGGGAGCGCTGCAGTAACGGGCGGGACGCGAGGCGAAGCGGCTCCGCCACCGGGAAGGGACAGGGGCGGGGCCGAGCTGGAGGCCTCCGGGGACGGTGGACGGGGGGCGGGGTCGGGGCGGACGCCCTGTGGTGCGCGCTGAGCGTTTTGAGTTCGCCAAACGAGCCCCTCGCGGGAGCTGCCCTCGACGACTGAGGACTGAGTGTCAGTGTTGGGGCGGGCTGAAGGACAGCCGGGACTCCAGGAAGAGGGCGCGAAGAATGCAGGCGGGAACTGCGGAACAGTGATTGCGGCCCACGCGAGGCCGGAAGTGGGCGGGCCCTGAGGCAAGGCCGCCCTAGGTGGGTGTGGCTGATACAGCGGGGAGCGGAAGTGGGCGTGGCCTGTTGTCGTGGGCGCGGGGAGGGGATGCGGGGGGCGTGTCCCCCCGGGCGCGGCCCAGTGAGGCGGTGGCCGAGTTCTCCGGCCTGTGACGCCTAGGCTGGCAGCCCGCTGAGCCCGCCAGACTCCGCCGTCGTCGGGAGACGGCCGCTGGGAGCCCGCCGCGATGGGACCGCGCTGAGCCGCCCGCTGGCGGGGGAGCAGCGCGGTCTAGGATGGAGGGGTCGGCAGAGTGGGGCCCCGAGGCAGTGCTGGGCCCCGAGGCGGTGCTGCGCTTCCTGGCGGAGCGCGGGGGCCGGGCCCTGCATGCCGAGTTGGTGCAGCACTTCAGGGGCGCACTGGGCGGCGAACCCGAGCAGCGCGCCCGCGCCCGCGCGCACTTCAAGGAGCTGGTGAACGCCGTGGCCACGGTGCGCGTCGATCCCGCCGACGGCGCCAAGTACGTGCACCTCAAGAAGAGGTTCTGTGAGGGGCCGTCCGAGCCCTCCAGGGACCCGCCGCGAATCCAGGTGACCGCCGAGCCCGAGGCCCCCGACTGCCCGGCCGGGCCCGAGGTGCGCGATCGGCTCCCCGACGCAGCGGCCCCGGAGGCGCTCCTTGGACAGGGCCGCGAGCTGGGCGAGGGAGAGCCCCACGCTGCCGCTCACGGGCCGCCCCTGAGCGCCGGGGCTCGCAGGAAGAACTCGCGGCGCGAAGTGCAGCCCCTGCCCCGGACTCCGGCCCCGGGACCCAGTGAGGACCTGGAACCCCCGCCCCATGGCTGCGAGGAGGCGGACAGGAGCAGCTCCCTTGGGGGGGCCACCGCACAGAGGCCGGCCCGCCAGAACTTCCGCGACCTGGTGATGGGCAGTTCCCCGCAGCTGAAGAGGAGCGTATGTCCCGGGGGCAGCAGCCCGGGCAGCTCCTCCGGGGGAGGACGCGGCAGAGGCGGTGGCGACTCAGACAGCGCATCGGTGGCCTCGTCGTCCGCGGAGGAGGAGAGCAGTGGCGGAGGCTCCGTGACGCTAGACCCCCTGGAGCACGCCTGGATGCTCTCTGCCTCCGATGGCAAGTGGGACAGCCTGGAGGGCTTGCTCACCTGCGAGCCCGGCCTGCTGGTCAAGCGGGACTTCATTACCGGCTTCACTTGCCTGCATTGGGCCGCCAAGCACGGCAGGCAGGAGCTTCTGGCCATGCTAGTCAACTTCGCCAACAAACACCAGCTGCCGGTGAACATCAACGCCAGGACGAGCGGGGGTTACACCGCCCTGCACTTGGCAGCCATGCACGGGCACGTGGAGGTCGTGAAGCTGCTGGTGGGGGCCTACGACGCCGATGTGGACATCAGGGACTACAGTGGGAAAAAGGCCTCCCAGTACCTGAGTCAGAGCATCGCTGAGGAGATCAAGAACCTGGTGGGAGCCCTGGACGAGGGTGACGGGGAAAGCGCCGCGGGTAGCAGCGGTGGGCGCTGGAGGCTTTCAAAGGTGCTTCCCTCGCATCTCATCACCTACAAACTCTCGCACGTCCTAGATGATGGAGGAGACCATCACTACCATCACCATCACCAACATCACCACTTGGCTGAGGGGTGGGTCGGAGGCAAAGCCAAGGATCCAGGGCGCAAAGCTTCAGGCAGCTCTAGTGGACGTATAAAACCCAGACTCAACAAAATCCGCTTCAGAACCCAGATTGTCCACACCACACCCTCTTTCAGGGACCCAGAACAGCCACTGGAGGGTGGCGGGGAGGAGGAAGTGGAGGAGGAACGGTCTGTTAAAGGCCACTCGTCCTCCTTCAAATTGAGACCAAAGTCCAATGTATTTGGGTAAAAATTGTTTCTTTTAGAAAATGCTAAGGGTTATTTGTCTTAGGAAATTGAGTACTAGGTGTTGTAAGGAAATGAGACCAGAAGGACAAGCTAAATTATGCATTCTTACTTGAGGGACTGGAATGGATGGGGCGGAGTTCCCTTCAGGTTAGCCTTCTGGGGAAAGTGGATTTCTTTTAAGAGATTCATCATACCTTGACCTGTGCCTCTTTTCTGCCCTCCACTTCCCTGCCCTGGAGCCCGTTTCTGGAGACTAGAAATGTATCTAAATTGGGGGAACAGAATGAATGAATGAGAGTTCCTTTGCTTTAACCATTCCTGGATGTCTGCAAAGTAAGGAATAGTGCACTTTTTATGTATCTGATTTTATAAGGGGTTACTCTTTCAAGAGCAACAAAGAAATGCAAATTGTAATGAAACTGGTAGTATTTCTGAGTGTGAAAACGACAGGCTGCCCCATTTTTTACCAATTGCATTTGCATTTTAAGGTACTACTGAAGGTCAGATCAAAGTTGAAATGCAAAAATACTAATTAGGTAATAATGTGAATAAAATGGGAATCCTCTTGGTATTTTATGTATATTGTAAGTAGCAGTTAAATTATTTTTGTAAAAGCAATTTCAGTGTTAATCACTGAACAAAAGAAACAGGCAACATTCACTTCTGTAGTATGGTTTCCAGCTATCTCTAACACCACTATTAAGGTACACCAGTGTTAAGGTACATTAATAACTACACAAAATTTTATTTAAAGAGGGCACTTAGCAGCCTGTGATAGTTTTAAATAAAATGTTACCTCTCCTTCGGATTCTCACTAACTTGTGTTACTATTCTAAAAGTTTGCATTTGCTGGGGTGTTTATTCTGAGGATCATATAACCATTGTTCTACTTGGCATAACCCTGTTTAATGGTGCTTAGAGCTGAATTACCTACAGAAACTGTTTCTGGTTTAAATAATTAGCACAAATTGGCTCATGAGCCCATGTTTCTGTGAAGTAATTATTAAACCAACGTAATGATCCTCACGTAAGGTACACTTTTTATTTTACTACATTGGTAGTCTCTGTGACTTGTAGCAATGTTTTATAAATGTTTAAAATGCTAAACTTAATTTTCCAACCTTTTCTTGACAATTAGATACCTATCCTGTAGTTACTGAAAATCTGGGTAGTAAATCTACCCAGTTAAAATGGCACTTTATAAAAGGGAATAGAGAAGAGATGGGACTATTTCTATATTTCAATGCTGCTGGCTATTAAATTCCTTTGTATATAAGTGAAAAATACCATTCGTTAAAATTAAGGACTTAAATGTGGTTCTTAATTACATTTCATTCATTTATGTTAGAGTAAATGGCTTCATAATTACTTTAAAATTTAACCCACAAGCATATGAAATCTGTTTGTCATAAAATTGGAAACAGTTTTTGAGAGGGACTAATTTAAACAAGTCCTTCTCCTTTAGTCTTTTGGGTCATGTAATTGCTGAAACCTAAGTACCTACAGACTACAGGATAAGGAAGTTCACAGCCTGCAGGGTGAATGAACCCATGTGTGAACTGCACAAAGCAATTCATAGAAAATGCACAGAAATTTGTAACACTTTTGTCACGTCTGTCTCTAGATGCTCATTGAATTTGTTTAAAGATGGATGAAAGGCCGGGCATAGTGGCTCACGCCTGTGATCCCAGCATTTTGGAAGGCCGAGGTAGGTGGATCACTTGAGGCCAGGAGTTCGAAACCAGCCTGGCCAACATGGTAAAAACGTGTCTCTTCTAAAAATACAAAAATTAGCTGGATGTGGTGGTGCGTTCCTATAGTCCTAGCTACTTAGGAGGCTGAGGCATGAGAATCACTTAAACCTGAGAGGCGAAGGTTGCAGTGAGCCAAGATCATGCCACTGCACTCCAGCCTGGGCAACGGAGACTCTGTCTCAAAAAAAAAAAGAAAAAAGATGAATGAAAATATGAAATATCTAAACTATTATCCATTCGTTTGCCTTTTGTTGTGGGATTTTAGATATGAACTGTGTAAATTTGAGAAGCACTTATGCATACACGTGGGTGAAAAACCAATCTAATTTTGTGTACATAAAAATAGGCTCCTGGAAGGTGAGAAGTAGTCATTTGTGCTAAATCTATACATATTGCCTGTATCTAGTGCGGAATAAGCTATGACGTCCCATTGAGGAATCTTAAATTTCATAGACATGTAAAGCTGAAATAACTCTAAAGAGTAGATGTTTCAGAACCATCAGAAGGTTCTGGTGAACAATCAGTATTATCTCTTAAATGTATATGTTGGTCACTAATTGCACAAAATCTATAATTTGCTAGGGCTTTAGAGATTGAGTCAATATGTCATTTACCGTGGTTTTCCCCCAAAGGCTTTAACTTTTCTGATAAAATAATATTTTAAATTTTCAAAAACCCATTCCTGAGGGGAACTACTAGCATTCCTTTTCATGATGTGCTTGTTTGTGCAGTAAGTAGCATTTTTGGCTACTTAACTCTACATTCCTCTTATTTTTCAGTTTCCAGTCAAGATTATAAAAAGCAAGATTATAATTTGATATTCATAGAGTTGTGCCTACCTTTAATGGAAAAATGTATGTCAGATACTTAGATGTTTATTGATATGAGACCATGTGCTTAAAAAACCCAAGTATGTCCATGTGTTTCTTATAAGGTACACTTGAAACTAGTGAGTATTTGTCACATTTCACTTTCATGGTATGTAAAATGCAGTTCGCATATATAACTTGAATATCTGGTACTAGTTTTTTCATGCCTGAAATCTTGGAGTCTAGGTTGCCTTGTCTCTCCTTTTTTTAAATGAGTGAAATTTGGGAGATTGTAAAATCTGTAAAGTTTGTTTTGTCGAAATAAAATGTTCACAGTAGAATTTTTCTCTGAATTGTTTAAGTTTCTGTCGTGCTTTAGACTTTTTACATATACTGTGTTTTACAGTTCACAAAATGCTTTTTGAAGTTTCAATTTATTTGACCCTTTTCCTATCCCTTAAGATTATGGGCCATATGTTCTTGACTTACAGATAAGAAAATAAAGGTTAATGGTTGTTCAGGGTCACACAGTAAAAAGCTGTTAGTAAGATCTTAAGAGTCAGTGCTTTCCCACAACGTTACCTTTTCTGCACGTTGAA